TGCAGATAGCATGCTTTAATCAATCCTGCTGGAATAATCTTGTTTGTTACAAAAAAGACCTTCAGACGAGACCAGTTCTAATAAACGAGATCCACTCTGGTTAGTGAGCGAGATTGCTCAGTGTTCAGAGCGCAAACTCACTAACCCGAAGGTCCATTGTTCGAGCTCGAATTCTCCCGTCTAGGCTCGGGCAACCTGGCATTATCCCACCCCTCGCGCTTCCTTCGGGTGGCATGGCAGCTAGGCACCGAAAGGGTGTTAGAGCTGAACGGCTACTACTAGGCAGTGGACAGTAGGGTTTTATTGGGGACCCTGCCCGGAGACTATGACTCAATAGTCTAACCTGCTCGGCTGCAGCGGATTGGTCTAACCAGTGGGCATAGGGAATAAGGCATTACTGTCTCATTTCTAATGCGGCTGCGCACAACAAGTTCTTTTTGAGCAGACCATATTTGTTAATGCGCCGGCGATCACGGTCAACTGTTGGGCGATCGGAGTGCGCGGTTTTTTGAGCCAACCTTTTCTAACCCGTCCTTCCTCGGGAGAAGGTAGGATTGCTGCTACGATGGATATGGACATGCTGGTCGCCTGGGGGAAACACCTTACTGCATTCATACCTGTTGCAGAGGACAGTTCGACTTTAGCTCCAGACCGCCTAGCAGTACGACTACTCGTAATGCGGGGTCTCGCTGCTCTCCTCTGACTGCTCCTCTTTGGCCTTCTTGGCATGGTTGCACCTTGTGGAACGAAGTTCCAGCCAGTGTAGCCCGCGGGATCGTTGCAGCGCTCAAACCCGATCACCACTTCAAGGTGGCAGCTTTATGTCGGGATTGTGAGTCAAGATTTATAGTCGGAGGCTCAAGGCGATGTGTCTCAACCAAACCCGCCTTCGGACTTGGTAGCAGTGAAGTATCATTCGCTCTTGTAACTCTCCGTACACCAGCCTTCCCATCCATCGAACGGTACACTTCGTTCAACCCATCTTTCAGTTCCCGTCTTAACCGCAGCTCAGCAAAATGAACTGAAATAACCTCTCACCTAGCTCAGGAGATCTGATCCACGCTGTATCCTTCAATCTACGTACTCTCCTTTCTATCGATATAGGCTTTGTCCCCACAGCGGGCATACGAAACTCTACTTCGACCGTGCAACTCAAGCCGTTTAGGAAGTGCACAGAAATTCCACATCTCAGCCTTCCAGTATTTGGTCATCTTGACGCAACGGCTCCCGGTACCTACGGTGTGAGAGTTGCGCCTAACCCTAAAGTTGGGAGCCACTCCCCCCAACTAGACCGGGTCTTAGTAAACAGTCGTTTTTTGTTCTGTACGGTTGTCTGGTTCGATTGAGACCAATGTAGTCGATGCTGTAATCTGTGGTCATTTGTCGCATCAGCATATGTCCCGACAGGCAGCAATCCTGAGACTGGGAGTGACGGATCTGCCGCAACTGCATCAGCCAGCAAGATAAACGGATGTATTAATCCTTGCGAGTGAGGTAAATGCCCGAGTTGAACGACCAAGCCTGGAAAGAGCACGTTTAAGTGGTAGATTTCGAGTCAGTGCTCAGTGTGCAAATGATGGGTGCGACTGCTTAAGTTATGTGCTGATACTCATTTGTTCTAGGCCAGAAGAATTTCCATCACAATCGTAAAAAATTGTCCAGCTGTAGCACCCTTTCGGTGCTAAACTTCCATGTCACCAGAAGGAAGCACGAAGGATGGTATACTGTCAGGTTGCCCAAGCCTAAACAAAGGAAGTCGAGGGGCATAGTTCGGGTTTGAACCCAACCTTCTGGTCAGTAAATTCGCGCTCTAACCACGAAACTATCTCGCTTCCTCCCCAGCACAATCGATCACATTGGGTTATTTGCAATCCGCAATACAGTTACGAACTCAACTGAACCATATGGCTACCACTTATCGATGAACAGCCCCAATAAAAGATTGCTGTTTCTTTTTGGGTAAGCAACTTGACTCCGATCATGACGGTGTGCGGGCCAGGATATCACTTCGCTCTCCGCCATGTGCCAAAGCAGAGTAACTCTGTTCATCATATTCGACAACTTTCAGTAGCCCAAGTGTGTCGAGCTGCTCTGACTGAAAAGCGACTGGAAACTGCTAATGAAGGTTGAGTGGAATCGAGTTAGAGAAACTATACTCTCAGCTTTAGTAGCTGACCGTCCAAGTCATCCGAATCGACTAAGTAGACGGGATATCTTCGAGATCAACAGATCTTATCGCTACCAGGAAGGCCATACCACCAACTGGCAACTATGATGGCACACACAGACCCTTTAAGCGCTGGACGATCAAGAACTTGAATAGTAACGGAAAACGCTGGTGGATTTCGAAGGTCCAGAACACAGAGAAGGATTTCGTTGCAGGCAACACCCGAGCCCTATTTTAGCTGATAAGCTCAACCGGTCAAAATAAAGCAGATGTCAGTGGAGCAATATGCGAAAAAGGTGAAACAGCAATTCATCCCCTCAATCGTCATCTTAGCGATGGGCTTATCACTTCAAAGAACAGTCCAGCTGGTCTCCTTCAACATGACCGCTGGAAGAACCCAGAGGACCTGAATGGAACATCGACGCCAGCCCACCATCAGCAACAGAAATCCAGCGTGAGATGTCGATCCTCAAGCACGACAAGGCGTCTGGTGCGGATGGACCGCACCCAGCACTCTTCAAAGGAGATGGCGAGATCCTGGTGAACAGTCCAACATCCATACCACAGAAGGTTTGGAACGTAAACAGAGTTTTAGCCGAATGGAGGTCCTCGACCGTCATCTCAGTTTTCAAAATGGGCGCAAAACATCATGCGAAAACCATAGTTGTATCAGCCTGGTATCTGTCGCATCTAAGGTGCTCTCCAGCACCATTTTGCACAGTTTGATCGATTATCGGGAGAGATTCGTGAGAATCAAGCCGGATTTCGCCATGGTCGAGAATGCATCAATCATACCTTTACCCTGAGACAAGTTCTTGAACACCGCCGCTCTTGCAAGCGTCCCACGTTGGTCGTTTTTATTGATCTAAAAGCTGCTTTTTATTCTGTTGATCGTAAGAAACCCTGGCAATCAGATTTACCTCCCTTACGAGGACACTGTGCGAACTCCTGTGGGCGCGCACGACTTTACAGGAGGCTTTCGACTGAGTTCATCATCACCATCATCATCGACAGCATGACATCAGTGTTCAACACCGATGCTTTACTGAGTTCACCACGCCCAGCGGTGTAAAGGAAGGCTGCCATCTCTTGCCTTTCCTATTAGACTTTGTTCTTGATGTGCTGCTTGGAATTCCTCAGCCTGCCCATGAAAACTCGGCGGTCGAAATACTCCCGAGACGTTCGCTCATAAACATTCACTATGCAGAAGATATTGCTTTCTTTGATTCAGATCTTTCAGGAATGCAAACCATTTCAAATAGCCTTAATAATTCTATGGCGCGATTTGGTCCATGGTTCACCCGCAAAGTGCAGACTGCTGCTGCAAGACTGGATGGGATCAAACCAAAACATCATGCTTGCAGACGAGCGAATCGGTGTTGTAGATAAATTTGTTTACCTGGGCAGTTGTATATGTTCCGATGGGCTGGCTGGAGAGATTACTTCTTGAAGGGTAAGGCAGCTTTTGCCAACCTCCCACGAGACGTCCGTTTTTCTGTCAAAGGCAGAGTATACACTGCGGCAGTGCGTTCTTTATTGGCTTATGGGTCAGAAACCTCGCATCTACGCGCAGAGGACATACAAAAGTTGTCAGTGTTTGGCCACTAGGGTTTCTGAAGCATTGACCGGGTTTGGTTGGAGTATCGGATTAGTAATGCTTAGGTACACCAGATGGTTTTGTTGGAAAAATGTTCCTTATCTCCGTAGATGAGTTACTCACGCTTCGTAGCGCACGCTGACAAATGGCATGTACTCCTCATACCTCAGGACTGTCTGCCTCGCAGAGCTCCTTCTGCCCAGCCCTGTGCTGAGTGAAAGCGACCGACAGGTGGGTAGTGTATGACATGGCGACGAAATACGAAAACACTAACCACTCAACTCAATCGTGTTCACAACTGTGCTTCCCTGGATGGGACCTCGGGACTCAACTTACCAGTGGTCAGTGATACTTGCAGAAATGGCCAGCCGCACAGTCAGTGGTGGGCGTGCATCGAGGCTATCGCCTCTAATTCATACTTGTCCAGTTTCCCAACCTAACTGAACATGCCATCGCCTCCAATGCTGGGCTATACCTTCCACTTTCTCCCATTTTCCGGTGACTAAAACTGTAGCAATTGGAACCAATGTGCCCATGGTACATACCATATAGCTAATACACTGGACTAAAGTGAAAGGGACTTCATCCGAAGACAGCATTACTACTCCGTTGATGAGCAATGGGTGTCCATCCTTCTTGAATGCGTCCGATGGCACTTTAATAGATTACGTTAGCCTTTGGACTCCAATTCAGCCAACCGGTAATCGAGGTACTGACTTCCTGTGTAGCCCCAACCTCAGTACTTCACTAGCCATCGGTTTGGTTGGAAGTCACGTTTGCTGGCCTTACTTCGGAGTATCAGAGGCTCACCACATCAGTGGTTGGCGGTACTCACCGACATGGCGATGTCACACACCTAGCGGCGGTGTTGTAGATATTCTGTTCTGAATGAGTAACCCGCGGTTTTTTGCTTTTTATTCATTTTTTGCACTCCCCTTATATCACCCGCTAGCATAAGCTGCATCGATCCGAAACATCATACATGCATACATGGTTCGCGGTTGTCAAACTCAACTGAACTGAACTGAATTTGCCCCAGAAGATGCGAGTGGTCACCTCTCCTTTCGTTTTTTTTTTACCTTTTTCGTTTCTATTTTTTTCACTATCCTTCCATTATCATCCCATTTCCATCTACACTACTGTCCCTCTCTTTACGTCAATCTATACTGCGTGGTCACTATCGAGCACCGACAACTGTCTTCTTCGACAACCGAACAATAATTTCTTTCTGCCGGAATGCCGTGTTTTCAGTGTGGCAGAAAGTTCGGTTTTGCAGCTAAAGAAGTATGCGTTACCACCCGACGGCAAACTCGAAGCTTTCTATAGGTTGCTTGTAGAAGTTGTAATCGAATCTTCTGTTCCAAATGCGTGAAATATAAAGTGGTGCTGCCGGAGCACGGTAACAAACAATGTGAAGTCTGCTTCAGCTGTTATGACAAGGCCACAAAGTGAGCAGGTCGTTTTGTGTAATCTAAATAGATCCTTAGTCCCGATCAACCGGTCGCACCGAAACTCGAACCACCAAAGATACTTCTAGAGTAATTCTCATCATTGTCGACGGTAACTTTATTTTTCAGTCGTATGGAAGCACTTGGAATTAGTTCATCTGGTGTTCCTTCTTCTGTCCCGGGAGCATGTGGAGGTGGAGGATGTGCAGTAAGGAATCGATCGCACAGCCCGGCAGGTTAGACAGCGGAACGCAGTAACCTTGGAATTCTAGTCCCGCATATTGGTGAGCTAGAACTGCGTTTAGATGCACTCAGGGATGTGCCGAAACCCGGTGAGCATTCATATTTTTCCTCTTAACAACTCCAGACGAGGTTCCTTCGCACGAGGAGTTACAAGAACGGTTGCGGAAGTTGAGGGAATCGGATCATGTTCAGCAAAATATATCCAATCCAGTCAAATCTGACAAAGTGTCAAACCTCATTGACCAGGTAACTTCCTTTTTACCCCATTATCTGAACCCGTTGTACTCAATCATATAATTCCATCTTTGACCATAGTTATCCGACGGGTGAACAATCGAAGTTCAACGTTCCTTATCACTGCAAAGATAGGATAGTCTTAGATTTAGCTAGATGGTCTCTAGTCTTATTTACGCGAGTGAAACAGACTTCCTTCCCGTGATGAACGTCTGTTGTTCTACTGTTGTACAACATGATTCATCCCGAGAAAACCCTTTTACGAATAGAATAGCAGATGGTAAATGAAGGGAATTTCCTGTAGACTGCAAGTGATTATTTAGTCACAACGGATAGGGATAGATGAGAACACAGTTTACGTATGTATCCGGTATTATCTAGGTAGGGTTCTGCAACTTCCATCTTGTTTGAACTAACGATTTCCGAAGTTTCGGAATCGTTACACTGCATGCCATGTTCTTCTAGGTAGAAATACATGGATGACCATACACCCGTAGTTGGTAATATCTAAGTTACTGTTTCCTAGTGCACAACTTTATACATCTGTTTTGTAGCCGATCTACTCGCTTAGCTAGGGTCCTTCCGTGTCAGTTCCATCAACTTACTAAAGGCGAGTTCTACGTGCGCTTCTCAGGGTGAAATTCAAGTATTTGGAATGGACATATATATCTGCGCTCCTCACGGTTTGCTGTCAGATGAAAGCTTTTTGCTGGATGTCTGTTGGTAAATGTTCCAGTTGGTCGTTGTATTCCGGAGTCATCATCCGAGGTAATAAATCTGAAAATCAGTCTCAGGTGGTGGGGTTGATAGGAAGCTCTGTGCTTGATGATGTTTTATAGCGGAAAATGGTATTGTCGGTCTGCGCTACGCATTCGCCCTAATTCTGACTTAGTTCTAGGAAAGCAGTTGACTCTGGTAGGCGTACACTTGGTTGAAGACTTCACTTCCGAACCAATGACCGAAGGCGTCACGCAAATCCTACTAGTAAGTGTTGTAAATCTTCCCTTCCGTACGGCCTTCCGCCGAAGACCGGCATGGATGTGTTGACATAGACCGCTGGTTTGCTTTAGTCCTAGATTTTTCCGGTGGTCATTAATGCAGCAGCTCACGTTGGCCTCCTTCTCAATCAGTGTTTAGTTCAGTCAAGTTACCAAGCGTGTTTTGCGAACTGATGCAAATAGCGTTCGTTCGTTCAGCGTAACACCCTCAGTGTTTAGTTCAGTCAAGTTACCAAGCGTGTTTTGCGAACTGATGCAAATAGCGTTCGTTCGTTCAGCTGTAACACCCTTCTGGTGCCTAGCTACCATGCCACCTGAAGGAAGCACGAGGGCTAGGATACTGCCAGGTTGCCCAAGCCTAGACAGGGGAAGTTGAGAGGCAGAGGTTGGGATCGAACCACGGACCTTCCGACCAGTAAATTCACGCTCTAACCACTTGAGCCATCTCGCCCCAGCAGCGTTCGAATCTCGTATAGTTATTGCGCAGCAACACATAGGATCGCATTAGAGTATTCCGTTCGATTCGGTGGCTACTGAGCTCTTTCACTTGTTCGCCGGCGCGTTTCACTTCTTCGGGTTTTCGTCAGATTCATAGACTCGTATACTGTAACACACCCGGCTTGGCGCTCAGCATTTGTGTTGTCAGATTAGTGCACAGGAGTCCGGTGGTCCAAAGACTGTGGACCCGGGTAATGCGACATGAGCGGATTTCACTTAATTTGCTGGACACATCTTCACTCTCGTCCACTAATCACTTAATTGTATGCTTTCTGGAATCAATAAGGTGCACGCGGAAAGAAATATCGATGGTGGTGCTACGGTGAACTTAGACGGGAGCGATGAAGGAGAACTTCCATGGTGTTGTATATGCAACAAGAATGCCCAGGTCTGCTGCGTCGACTGTGATGGGGACCTTTTCTGCAAGGCCTGTTACCGGTAAGTTTGTAAACGCTATTGAATCACAAGGATATGCATTTTTCAGTTTCGAGTTTTATGAATAGGGAAATTCCGAGTTCATTTCGTCCTCGGCATTGGCGAGTAGACCGTAATGCTTTATGATTTGGATGTGGAATTTCTAATTTTACAGCTCGTTTTAAACATTGATAGGGACTTTGTGGCAGTATTTTCGATTGGATTCTCGTTAAATGTTCTTTAGTAGTGGGCAACAGGTTTGTCCTGCACATTGACCAACTGACCGGGAACAACGCTGAAAATAGCAAGCCTCTTTTTAGCCACATAGCTATTTGGGGAATGTCCGTGGGCGTGATCCTCTGTTTCAGTATTGATATACGAGAAGCATGCGTACACCGTTTGTTGGTTTTCCCGGAATCATTTCTTCCCCAATAAACATTAGCCTACACCTACCGCAGCGGTGGGATCCCCATTTACTACGTGATTTGACTATCCTCGGTTCAACCATTGCTGCACGAGACCTAATTTGCTCTTTTAACCTGACCCATTCATTATTCCGATTGGCTGCGCAGAATGACTTCAGTGTGGAGTTCAGTTGACTCGAAGACCGCACGGTACCCTCCACAGACGGGTATACGGAAAGTCGACATGGTCGGCCGAGCATGTGAACTTCAGAAACCTTCTGGATCTGTAAAATAAACGAAATCTCCGTGAGCGTATGATAACTGGGACCCATAAAATTTGCATGGATGATACCATTAAACCTACACCGAACTCAGTGTTTCAGATCAAGGAAGATCAAGAAGCCTACCCAGATAAGTTCTGAAAGATCAGCACCAAACAAAGAAAAAACCCGGTCAGAACCACCTGCCGAAGTCAAGCCGTCTCTCGGAAGCGATGGATGGCATAACGCGTTAGTGGCTAATGCCAAGTGCCACGAGGCATCGTTCTCGTCGTCATTATTGAGTACCTCCCGCCAACGTTGAGCAGTTAGAGCTCCAAAATCCATTCGCTTTGGATGTTCTCAGACAGAAGCATGTAAAATGCCGCCCAATTTGGAAACATTGGATAAAACAGCATTAGTTCAACAAGCGTCAACTGCTGGCGGTATACATGGGGTTGGATTATTTTGTACTTCAATGTCCGTTCGGTTGTCTGAACCAGCTCGTCCACTGCTTTGATAGCGTCCTAAAGGGCGGTGTTGCCGACTTCATGATCTAAGAGGAGTTCTTCCTCCGTTAATGCGTTGTTGGTATATGTCGGCCTAATTTGTGGGGAAAACAACAAGAGATTGAAAAGTTTTGCGCTCAGTTCCACCACTAAGCAAGTGAAGAAAGCAGTCGAAGTCAAAGCCTGCTTCACTGAAAGGACCGAACGATATTAATCCTACATTCCAGTATAGTGAATACTAATCGCGTCTCGCAAAATTGTCGCCTGTTTATTCGAAATTCGCTTCCTTCTGACTTTCGCAATGGGGCATCTCATGCTTCGTCAATCGGAAGTTTGTTATACCATTACGTTGCGCGATCGTGGTCACTTATTTCCCGAGACGGACGGTGTCATTGTAACTAGGCGGATCCACATTGTTCGGGTATGTCGTGTTGTCGTTTTAGACATCGCTGTCTAAAGAGACATTTGAACAGTATGTCGTGTTGTCGTTTTAGACATCGCTGTCTAAAGAGATCATTTGAACAGGCCAAGTGAAAATAGTCTCTTCCGTTAAAAAAAATCTCTCGGAGAAATAGCTGCACAAACATTCACCCGTTACACTGTTTTATCAATTTCCTTGTTATCTTCTGCACTATTCCCGATTGCCATCATAATTCTAGACAGTGTGGGTTTCGTCTCATTTTCCAGTACATTTCCTCCGTCTGTTCGCTCACGAAACTGTTATTTGTGCATTGTTAGACGTAGTCACCGAAGTGGAGAAGAAAAACACCATCAGTGGGAGCCTTTTGCTCCAAGCCGTCGGGTTCAATAATCCTCTCTGATGTCGAATTCGAGCGTCCATTGTCGGCTGTTCCCAACGCCCCGGTTACCCACTGTCTTTCTTACCATGATCTCTGTATGTTGAAAAACTAACGATTCTCTCTATTTTTTAAAGTTTCTTTTTTGCATATGCTGGGTCCAAGGAGCTTTCAAGGGCAGTATCGTATTCGAAGAAGTTTGGTGACAGTCGGTAGATTTGTTGCTGGGCGACGTTCCGCTTTTGAAACAAAAGCTTCGTCAGGCCAAGTGACTAGGTTCCGAGTTTGGTCGATATTTAATTCGGAAGGAGAACCAATCAGCTAAGTCAAGCTAAATCTCTGTTGGGTGTCGGCCGAAAGATTTTAGTGTGTAAGAATGTTTGAGCAAGTGTTGGTTCGGTGGGGAAACCCACATGTGTTTGGGTCCAGCCTAGGGTCTAGTTCTTCTGGTTCGGTTCATTTGACGGTCCCTCTTGAACTTCGTTTGAACCTTCTGTCAGTCAGTGTGGGTGAGCTAGTGCTAAGATAGATGTGTAAGAGGGATGCTTTGACCTTTGGTCGGGTTGGAATTTCCACCCCCACCCCCCGCTTTCTATACGCTCGCTAGCTCCACACCCTCGATTCTATTCACGCTGTGATGCTTAGTAATTTCAACCGCCTTGGCTGTCAGCCGCTGTGGTGTGAATCGCAGTCCCCGTCTTAAGAACTTCCACATTCCCCAGATCTATTCTATGTCTCGCGTCTAAGGCATGTACCGCCATCGCTGTTTTTGACTAGCGTTTGGTATTCTTCTGCATTCCTTGGTGGTTTGTTTGTCCTTCTTTCGTGCTCACCAATTTTGGTGTGCAATTCTCTGGCATTTTGTCCTATGTAAACTTTAGTGCAATCGTTGTAGTTAATTTCATACACGCAGTCCCTAGTCCTTTCAAGTGTCGTGTTTAGATTCTCTGGTCTTCATAATTCGAGAGCATTGTGTATGAACTGGTGCCATGGTGGTAAACGCAGCCTTAACAGGTATCTTATAAATGAATGGATTCCTGAAGAGTCTTCGGCAACCTTAAAAGTAGCGTGTTACGCTTAGACATATTGCGACGTTTCGAATATCGTACAACTCATTCAGTTGAAGAAGACCATCATAAGCGGGAAATTTAGCTGGATTCAGGTGATTCCCACCTTGGAAATGGTCTTCTCAGGATCCTAAGGTCCATCAGAATCCTCATAGAGCCTGTGAAGATTGGTTTTTGAGGGGTGATACCACTGATCAGTATAAACTTCCAGGCATCTATAACATGGCTAAAGACTGACTGCTATTCTGTCGTGATTGGTATTTCAGCAATGTGTAAGTGGAATATCTGAGCAATACGGTCTCGCTGGATTTGACGGAAGCGGTACGAAATGCGCTGCCGTGTCGCGGCTTTTGAAAGCCAACTACTTGGAACAGGAACTATGTAATCGTTTCGTGGGTGCTTCATCGGCGCTTATTCCAACGGCCGCATCCAGTGATAAGAGAGACCATACTCATTGTTGCATTGAATGAATATCACCAGTTTCCCTGGAAACTGCCGATAGGTTAAGATATTAACTGAATCCATTCTCTCATAGAAACAATGTAACTCGCCACACAATTGTTCGTTAGTACGAATGTTTGTCCAGTTATCGGTCGAATTAGGTCTTACGAAGACTGCATTATATTGTGCTCTAAGGGCAACGTCGGTGTGCGCAAAATAAATGCAAATGACTGGAGACCTTTTTTAGCAACCAGTCTGGGTTCACAGTACTTGCCTGTGACGTTTGTTCCCTTTGATGTGGTATTCTCCAGGCTTTCTGTCGTATGGACGCGAAGAATGCTGATGTTTGTGATAGTTACCGATATTTTCCGTGCGCTGCTCGTTTCCGTAGAGACTTCATCGGGCTGACTGCGCACCAGAACATTGAGCCAGTCATCCCTAACAGCGACCGTCGCAAGGAAAAGGGATATTTGACCTCTCCGGGAGCCTCAGCTACAAAGTCTGGATTGATGGTAAACCCCTTTGTTCGCTCTCCCTAGGGAGTATTACTGCGTCAATCGATTTGTATTACTTTTCAAAATGTCGACTGGAATTATTGCGCGCAAACGATCCATACAGCCATTGTCGAAACAATGCACGCTTGCTTGATGTGATGGGTCGGTTCTCGTGGATCTGGAGTAGGGTCAATTTTTCTTGGTAGATGCTGTTTCCAATAGACTTGATTACATGCCAGACTCTCAATACTGCAATGCGTCGCACTAGACTGAAAACTAGTTGACGCAGCTGGTGTCAGATTAGCCAGCTCCGCAAGAAATGCCATTATGTGCCACACAAAGGAGTGACCTCACTTCGTAGATGTTTTTTCGAGAGTTGTCGCCGCGTACAATATAGGATAGGTTTTCTTACTTGTTTGGGCTTTACGAATAGTGTCATGCACCGCGAACTAACGGGTTGAGGAGGTCACTTATTCAGGTCTGTTGCCGGCCAGTGAACTTCGTGACTTCTCGGACAGACCGAAGTCTAACTGACGTGCTCAACATGCACTTCAACAGCACTTCGCGACATTTGGTACCAGTTTTTGGATCGCAATGAATTTGAAACCCGGAGAGTCGATAGGCAACATTGTTAGTGCTAAGCAAAAAAAAGCGAGGTTTACTGATGACCCCGAGAAAACTCGTCCTTGTGCAGTTTTACCTGACTGCATTCATTGAGGAGACAAAAGTCTAACGATTTCTTATGTAAATGCACAAGCAGAAATAAAAATTGCAATTCTTGGGCTGAAAGATAAAAAAATTAATGTTCCGTCGAAAGTAGTGTGTGCAAAATCCATACAAAGGGAAAGGATGGCTGGAAGAAGAATCAACAGTTTTGAGGTGAAACAAAGTAGAGGCAGAGTTGAAGTGGAAAGACGCGAGATAACCGGGACTGTGAAGCTAACCAAAACTTGATACGGTCCATGGTGCAATTCGGAATGCTCGACCGCGAGACAGTATTGTTGTGAAGTAGGGGTGGGTTGCGGAGAGATCTGTCCAACAAGCCATGCTCGATTGCAAATGACACGACGCCGGTGAAACGGGAGTGAGTCGACTGTCACGAACAGTGAGTACCGGTCGACCAGATAGTTGAATGATGAGCCAATTCATCAGTAACTCTTCACATGCACCGGTTTGATTAACAGGTCGAATCGCCATGCTGGATAGAAGTTCTGCGTATGAGTGTAGATAGTGCTATAAGAAGGAAGGCACATGTTTCAGTCTTCTGGTACATAAATCCGGGTGACATAACGCACCAACCAATAAAGTCTCACCATTTTCCACTAGCAATAATGATGATGACGAAGTCGGTGAGAAGAAAGAACACCTACTTCTCAGCAAACTTATAAAGTCGATATAACCTAGCAGTTAACTCTCATCACTGAAATTAATGAAGCGTAAAAAATCACCCGAGATGTACAATTAGGTCCATGGAGTACCTAATTCTCTGCCATTTCGTCACCTGCTGAATGCTGGCTTTGTCGTTCACAGGCGCCGCGCTGGAATGCTGTCTGTCATCGATAACATCTCCAGTTTACAGCATTCGTCACAATCTTGATAAAGACCTGACTTCTGCGCCACGCACGGACTGCAAGACATCCTCAGCACTGGCATACTTGTGTACATCAGAACCGCCGCCTGCTGAACTTCTTTGACCTGTATTTTTCACAACTTG